CTCTCTCGCTATCTCTCTCTCGCTATCTCTCTCTCGCTATCTCTCTCGCTATCTCTCTCTCTGGCTGTCTCTCTCACTCTCCCTCTCTCTCTCGCTCTCACTATCTGTCTCTCTCGCTATCTCTCACTCGATCTCGCTTTCTCTCGCTATCTCTCTCTGTCGCTATCTGTCTCTCTCGCTATCTCTCTCTCACTCGCTCTCTCGCTCTCGCGCTATTGCTCTCTCTCTCGCTCTCACTCTCCCTCACTCTCTCTCTCTTGCTCTATTTCTCTGGGCTCCATCCCCACCTATCCACCCACTCCTTCCTGCACACCCTGTCATCATCATATAAATCACCTTTTCCTAGTTACTAAAAGTTCTGAAGAAGGGTCACTGGACTTGAAGCGCTAACTCTGCTTTTTCTCCATGGACACCAGACCTCCACCTTTGCTCTAGCAATTTTGGTTCTTGTTTCAGGTGTTCAGCATGCATGATTCTTTGTTTTGTTTTATTTTAGTTCTTCTCACACCTTAGACAACATTTGCTAAGTAATCCTATCATAGAATCACACCTGATGTTGAACATTATGTTTTCAGTTTTGCAAGCACAGGCTGGTTAGTAACAGTTAATACCTTACTTGTTGCAAATTGTAGAATGGATTTGTTATTTGATATGATCCATCGGTCTTTGGGAAGTACAGCCTACATATATAGCATCATACCAGCACTGAAATTCTTATACCACGTTACTCATTTGTGTGATAGGTAGAACGTCTTTTGGGCTTCATATCAGCATCCTTTTAGTGATGAACCCCACTTAAGCTATTACTGTGCAGTAGCAACATGAATCGGCTAGATTCACCTGTTGCTCAAGAAAACTTGAGTTATCTGTGTCTTTTCAGAAATAATCCTAATTAGTCTAGGCAATAGATATGAAGTGGCATCCTGAAGGAAGGAAGAGGGAGCAAGCGGTGGAGAATTTTAGGGAGGAAATTCCAGAGCTTGAGCACAGCAACTGATGGTAAAGCAATGAAGCTAGGTTTTTATATTGCAACTCAACCAAAATTCAGATTGTTCGTTTCCAATTTTCACCCTGCTGTCATCTTCACCTGGTCCATCTCTGACCACTTCCTCCCCTTCCTCAACATCTCAACATTCTTGGCTGCAAATAGGCTAGCCATGGATACCCAATAGAAACCCATTGACTCCCACAGTACCTGTAACATTCTCACACCCTAAACATTCTGTTTCTCTTTCCCTATAAGCTGAGTCTTATGGTGTGCCTTGTACAGTAGCTGCTCAATTCTGCATTGAAACTTTGAATGCTTGTTTACCAATTTGAATCATTTATTGTCATCTGTATTCAATATAAAATACGGGGAAAAGTGTGTACCATCACCATGGCATCATTCACATTAACTTAAAATAAAATTTTAAAAAATCTTAGAGAGCCCAACATTTCCTTCTCCGCTACTACAGTCCCACTCCGGGCTACACTAGCCCAGGGCATGCAGCCACCAGAGTCCTGCTCCAGGCTACACCAGCCCAGGGCATGCGGCCGCCAGGAGACCACTCCATGCAGATGCGAGAGTCCTGCTCCAGGCTTCACAGACTGGCCGGCTCTGAAGCCACACTGCCTCTGAAGATACTGCTGCCGGTCTGGAACCCATCGAAACCACCTTCCTACTGATCAGGTAACTTAAAGCGAAAACTAAAAACTGAGAAAAGAAGGAGGAGGAATAGGAAAAAGAGATGAAGAGAACAAGCCCAGGCACAGGAGCCCGGATGCTGCCTACTCCGCTGCTGCCATCTTGTGTAATTTTTTGTTTCACTTATTGAATTCTTAAGTCTAACCTCTATGTCGCTATTTATTTGTTTCATGTTTTCCAGGTGGAAGAACTACATCCAAGGTATTCCAAAACTAATTGTGTATATATAACAAAGGTAGATACCAGGCTTTTTTTTGCCTTGTGTCTTAGAAATATTGTGAACAGTTCTACTTGTAAACTGAAAATCCTGTTCAACTTTTTTATGGTCTATTTCTGTGAATTATTTTATTTTATCTTTAAGTGTTACAGAGAACTTGGCCAGACCAACAATGCAGAAATGTGGTGTGACATGGCAGCATCCTTTCCCTCCAGTGCAAAGGTATTTAACTGTCATCTTTCAAATTCATGTGGTTAAGACCATCTATGTGAAGCATTTTGAAGAACACGTAAACTGTCTTTCTGTTAACAAAAACTCTATTTTCCAGGTAGAATTTAACCTATAGTTAATATTATTTACAAACTACCTCCCCAGAATCTCTGAATTTCTGTGATGAATAGCTGAGTCTGACACCAAGCTGGGCTGAGTGGGCCGGAAGGTTAAGAGAATTGGTTTCAGGGAGGGGAAATGTCCAAGATTCTTGGTCCTCCTAAATGTTGAATAACTGCAACTAGAAATGTGAACATGTGGATAGTAACAAACAAGATCTTGTTTGGTGTAATGTTACCTGCCTCATGGTCGTCTTTCATATCATTTCCTTCTTCCTCTTGACTAGATGTTCCACATGTCTTGTCATCCAAGGTTCCTTCACCTTACCATCCCTTCCTTACCTCAGTGGGACAAACCTCTCCAGTACTTGTAGCAACTGCTCCCTAAACAACCTCTACATTTCTGTCGAGCATTTCCCTGAGAACATCTGATCCCAATTTATGCTCTGCAGTTCTTGCCTAATAGCATTGTAATTCCCCCTCCCCCAATTAAATACGTTCCCATACCGTCTGCTCCTGTCCCTGTCCATGACTATAGTAAAGATCAGGGAGTTGTGATCACTATCACCGAAATGCTCTCCCACCGAGTTCTGACACCTGGCCTGGTTCGTTGCCAAGCACCAAATCCAATATGGCCTCCCCTCTAATCGGCCTATCTATACATTGAGTCAGAAATCCTTCCTGGACACACCTGACAAAATCTGCTCCATCCAAACTATTTGCACTTCGGAGGTTCCAGTCTATATTAGGGAAGTTGAAGTCACCTATGACAACAACCCAATTACTTCTGCGCCTTTCCACAATCTGTCTCCCAATCTGTTCCTCAGTGTCTCTGTTGCCCCTGGGTGGTCTATAGAAAACTCCCAATAAAGTGACTGCTCCTTCCCTGTTTCTGACTTCCACCCATACTGACTCAGTGGACAAACCCTCCTCCACGGTCTCCCTTTCTGCAGCTGTGATACTATCCTTGATTAGCAGTGCCACTCCCCCACCTCTTTTACCTTCCTTCCCATTTCTTTTGAAACATCTATACCTTGGAACATCCAACAACCATTCCAGCCCCTGTGTTATCCAAGTATCCGTAATGGCCACAACATCGTAGTTCCAAGTACTGATCCATGCTCTAAGTTCGTCACCCTTATTCCTGACACTTCTTGCATTAAAATAGACACCCCTCAACCCATCGCACTGACTGCAACTTTGCCCTATCAACTGCTTATCCTTCCTCACAGATTCTCTGCATGCTGTATCTGCCTGTACACCAGTTACCCCATACTCTGATCTGTAGTTCCGGTTCCCATCCCCCTGCCAAACTAGTTTAAACCCTCCCGAAGAGCTCTAGCAAACCTCCCACCCAGAATGTTGGTGCCCCTCCAGTTCAGGTGCAACCCATCCTTACTGTACAGGTCCCACCTTCCCCAGAAGATATCCCAATGATCCACATATCTGAAGCCCTCCCTCCTACACCAGCTGTGTAGCCACGTGTTCAGCTGCACTTGCTTTTTATTCCTGGCCTCACTAGCCCATGGCACAGTGAGTAATCCTGAGAATACAACTCTGCTCATCCGGGCTTTTAGCTTCCATCCTAACTCCACTTTTCAGGTCCTCATCCTGTTTCCTAGCTATGTCATTGGTACCGGCTGCTCTCCCTTCCCCTTAAGAATCCTGTACACTTGATCCAGGACATCCCTGACCCTGGCACCCGGGAGGCAACATACCATCCAGGAGTCTTGCTCAGTACCACAGAATCTCCTGTCTTTTCCCCTAACCATTGAATCTCCTATCACTATGGCTCTCCTATTCCCCCTGCTTCCCTTCTGAGCCACAGAGCCAGGATCAGTGCCAGAGACCTATGGTTATCCCCTGGTAAGTCATCCCCCCACCCACCAGTATCCAAAGCAGTATACTTATTATTGAGGGGAACGGCCACAAGGAATCCCTGCATTGTCTGCCTATTCCCTTTCCCCCTCCTGACAGTCACCCAGCTACCTTTGTCCTGTAACTTGGGTGTGACAACCTCCCTATAACACCTATCTATCACCACCTCAGCCTCCTGAATGATCCAGAGTTCATCCAGCTCCAGCTCCAGCTCCAGTTCCCTAACGTGGTCTGTGAGGAGTTGGAGTTGGGTGTGCTCCTTGCAGGTGAAGTCAGAAGAGACACTAGTAGTGACCCTTACCTCCCACATCCTACAAGAGGAGCATGCAACTGCCCTAGCTTTCATTCTTTCTGCTCGAGATTGCCAAAAGAATAAAGAAAAAAAGGCTTATCTTTCCAACCTGTTGGATCAGAAATTGGCTAGCTGTAAGAAGACAGAGGGTGGTGGTTGATGGGAAATGTTCATCCTGGAGTTCAGTTACTAGTGGTGTACCTCAAGGATCTGTTTTGGGGCCACTGCTGTTTGTCATTTTTATAAATGACCTGGATGAGGGCGTAGAAGGATGGGTTAGTAAATTTGCGGATGACACCAAAGTCGGTGGAGTTGTGGATAGTGCAGAAGGATGTTGTAGGTTACAGAGGGACATAGATAAGCTGCAGAGCTGGGCTGAGAGGTGGCAAATGGAGTTTAATGCGGAAAAGTGTGAGGTGATTCACTTTGGAAGGAGTAACAGGAATACAGAGTACTGGGCTAATGGTAAGATTCTTGGTAGTGTGGATGAGCAGAAAGATCTCGGTGTCCATGTGCATAGATCACTGAAAGTTGCCACCCAGGTTGATAGAGTTGTTAAGAAGGCGTACAGTATGTTAGGTTTTATTGGTAGAGGGATTGAGTTTCGGAGCCATGAGATCATGTTGCAGCTGTACAAAACTCTGGTGCGGCTGCACTTGGAGTATTGCGTACAGTTCTGGTCACCGCATTATAGGAAGGATGTGGAAGCATTGGAAAGGGTGCAGAGGAGATTTACCAGGATGTTGCCTGGTATGGAGGGAAGGTCTTATGAGGAAAGGCTGAGGGTTTTGAGGCTGTTTTCGTTAGAGAGAAGAAGGTTAAGAGGTGACTTGATAGAGACATACAAGATGATCAGAGGATTAGATAGGGTGGACAGTGGGAGCCTTTTTCCTCGGATGGTGATGGCTAGCATGAGGGGACATAGCTTTAAATTGAGGGGTGATAGATATAGGACAGATGTCAGAGGTAGGTTCTTTACTCAGAGAGTAGTAAGGGCGTGGAATGCCCTGCCTGCAAAAATAGTAGACTCGCCCACTTTAAGGGCATTTAAATGGTCATTGGATAAACATATGGATGATAATGGAATAGTTTAGGTTAGATGGGCTTCAGATTGGTTTCACAGGTCGGCGCAACATCGAGGGCCGAAGGGCCTGTACTGCGCTGTAATGTTCTATGTTCTATGTTCTAACCCTCCACACAGTCTTTTTTTTGGTTAGAGGAGGAGGATGGGTGGCAGACACTACACATGTAGTGTTACGGGTTTAGCTAATGCCCAAATATAATAGTTCACTTCCCGGCTCATGCTCTCACCACTCCTGCCGTTCCAATCAAGAAGGCCGCTGACTCACGAGGCAAGCTTTTGTAAGGAAGGATGTGGAAGCTTTAGAGAGGGTGCAGAGGAGATTTACCAGGATGCTGCCTGGACTGGAGAGCAGATCTTATGAGGAAAGGTTGACGGAGGGATGTGGGCTTCCTTCATTGGAGATGAGAGGTGACGTGATAGAGGTATACAAAATGATGAGAGGCATAGATAAAGGGGATAGTCAGAGACTTTTTCCCAGGGCGGAAATGACTATTATGAGGGGGCATAATTTTAAGGTGATTGGAGGAAGGTCTAGGGGAAATGTCAGAGGTAGGTTCTTTATTCAGAGAGTGGTGGGCGTGTGGAATGCACTGCCAGCAGTGGTAGTGGAGTCAGATACTTTAGAGACTTTTAAGCAACTCTTGGATAGGCACATGGAGGATAGTAAAATGTAGGGTATGCAGGGTAGTTTGATCTTAGTAGGATAATAGGTCAACACAACATTGTGGGCCGAAGGGCCTGTACTGTGCTGTACTGTTCTATGTTCTAGAATACGATAATTTGTACCGTAGTGGCCAGCTTTACTTTTAGCATCATCTGGTGTGGCAGTCTCTACTGCATTTGCTGCAGAGGAAGACAATTGGCTGAGAAGTCACAAGATTCACTGCCTTGTATCTTCTCTGGATCCTTCATTTGGTGATCTGAACTTTGTGTTTCTGCTTGTCTCTTCCAATGCACTTCCAAACAGTCAGCCTTCGATGGTTACAGCTGTCAGTAACCATCTCACAGTTGTCAGTGTCAATATTTGTTATCTTTGTATCTAATTTGCAAGTGTCCTTGCAATGGAGATTTGGACGTTCAAAAGATTATGACCAGTGGCCGATTCACTGCGTGTAAGGTCTTTTGTTATATAGCTGTCATCTAATTACATAGCTGACCTCATGCAAAAGTCATTGAGTGAATGCTGATGGAATTAGCACATCCCAAAACCTGAGTTGGAATCTTTTCCTGCCAAGAGATGCCAAAAGATTGGGTCTGGGACGGGAAAGGTGGAAATTACCTAGTATCGATCGTCCATGTCTCTCAGTACTGAAGAGGAATATGCTGAGGACATAGGCTTGAAAGACTCACAGTTTCTTATTTTCAGTCAGTTTGCTGTTGTTCCGTAATCTCTTACTCAGTTTGGATATAAAGGCTGAAGCTTTTGGGAGGCACGTGTGGATTTTAACATCAGGTGACATTGCTGGTGTTTGTGGAGTCCACTTACGTGAAGCTATTAACAACCACCAGTGTCACATTGTGATTGCTAACAGATGGCAGTATGACAACATCCTGGAGCATGGCGTTTAACCTTCTGATGCAAATGGTCAAAACAAACTCGTTACAGACACGACAGAGTCTTTTTGCCACTGCAGGTTTCCTCAGTATTAAATGTTATTACATCATCATCAATGGGGACCAAAATGAGGACTTGGCACACCGTTGTCTTTGATCTTAGGCAGGCAAGGCTGAACATCTTTTGGTAAGTTCTAGTTTTAAATGGACACCATGGATAGTAACGAAGAGAAGAATATATCAGAGAGGTGGTGCTAATTGGCACGAGAATACAAGCCTGTTTGACTCCACTGCAGATCTTAAAGTAGAACCTGTGCATCAACTTTTCACGAAAAGAGTAGATCACGTTGAGCCACTTTGGCTGGCAACCATTTTTGTCCAACTTAAATAGACTGAAGACAAACTACAGTGAAATACTGAAAATCTGAGACTCAGTATGTCTGACAGCATCTGTGGAAAGAGAAACAATTCATATTTCAAGTCCAGAATGATTCTTGTCCTGTTAACACTCTTACTCTCTCCATAGATGCTGCCAGACCTGTTGAGCTTCTCCAATAATTTCTATGCTAAGGAGGCTACCTCTGCTGACATGGTCAAATGCCTCAATGAGGTAATATATAGTGGTCTCCTTCATCCACAGCATTTCTCATGCAGCTGCTGGATTATGGAGATCGTCATTTTAGATCATCCATTTATAAAACCACACAGGAATTTGGAATGTATTCAACCAAAATTTGCAACCAATGCTTTTTCAAAGGTGTTCAGCAAGACAATGACCTTAATAGTTGGTGCAGTCGCTGCAGGTATACTTGCTGTTTGTACAGGCTCACAATATTTGCGTCACACACGTCCTGAAGCACTGCTCACTGCCACCAATAGAGACCGAGAGGTATTTGCAAATGCTGCAGGAATACTGGTTCCCTGTGCCTGATAAGGTCAGGCAGTATAACATCAGCATCTCCAGCTTTTCTCATAGCAAAGCTTGCCAAGTTCCTGCACTCTGTGTTCAGTATCCAGTTTTATCATGACAGGCGGGATTTCTGTAGTGTCCAGAGCTTCCTTGTATTCCCACTCAAGTAGAACTCCAGAAAATATGCCATTCATTTCTCTAACTGCTTAGTACAATTGGTGATGTCCTCACTTACTTTTGTTGTTACTGGAGCCATTTTTGCTTTTTCTGACGTACTTGTTCCTTTTTGACCCTCTCATACATGCTCCTAAGATTGCTTGTTTCAAAGGATGTATGGATATTCTGACAAAGTTGTAATCAGTAGTCTTTGGTGCACTGCCTAGCAACTTACTTTTTAAAAATTCATTCACAAGATGCGGATGTCGCTGGCTAGGCCAGCATTCATTGCCTATCCTTAATTGCCCGAAGGACAGTTAAAAGTCACCCACATTGCTGTGGGTCTGATTCACATGTAGGCCCGACTAGATAAGACTAGATAGCAGTTTCCTTCCGAAAAGGACATTAATGAATTAGATGGGGTTTTTTTCGGATCATCAACATTGATTTTAAAGTTATCATTAGACTTTTAATTCAAGATTTTTATTGAATTCACCTTCACTATCTGTCATGGTGGGATTTGAATCCAGATCCCCAGGACATTACCAAGTTGTCCAGATTAATAGTCCTGCGACAATAGTTTAGGCCATCGCCTTCCCTTATTGGACTTGGTAACTATTTGAACTTTCAGGCTTATTATTTGTATCTCTCTTTTAATTATTAATGCCAGCTGCTTGGTTTCATTGACAGGTTTCATAAGTGATGTTAGCCTCAAACTAGTCACATTTTCTGCTTTTGTTTCCAATATGTTAAAATTGCAACATTGTGTCTTGAATATGTTTTATCTTGCTTTTGCACCATTTTACAATGCTGGAGAACAACTGTTAAATGTTTCATGCAAGTGTTGGTTTTATCTGGGTGGGCATTATGTATGGTGTTGATAAGAGGATGGTATTTCTGCTTTAAATTAAAGCAGTCAATTGTTGCATCCTCATCCTGGTGTACACCACAGAGTGTTCTGCATCCTGGTCATCACTCTAGCAGCCGTGTGTGTTATGAGTACTGTAACATTCCCTGCATTTGGTGGCAAAAAGGGGACTGTTGACTTTCAAATTGTTGGCTCCTTGAGTTAGGGAGAGAAAACCTGTTCCTGATATCTATGGAAGTGAATACATGTATATCACAGGGGAGAATCTAGTTTTGACTATGGCTTCAGCTGCAGTCAAAGTAGCGCATGAGCAATTAGATAACACAGTGTGGAGCTGGAGGAACACAGCAGGCCAGGCAGCATCAGAGGAGCAGGAAAGCTGACGTTTCGGGTCGGGATCTTTCCGACCCTTATCTCAGACTCCAGTATCGGCAGTTCTTACTATCTCTGCATGAACAATTAGCACTTGCTTGTGAAACTCAGGTCAACAGCCTTGTCATGAAAGACCAGCATTGTTTTCAGAAGAGAAGGAAAGAAATTATATTTGAATTATTTCTTCCTTTTTTTTTCACTTTTCCCAATTGTTTTCTGTTACTGCTGCTTGTGAGCTTTCTGTTATTGCTCTCATCTGTTTTTTTAAAAAAAGCCTTTGGGATGTTTTTCATTTTAACCATATGTAGTTCTTTCCTGCATCACCTCGTCAACCATACATTCACCTTCTCTATTCTCCTACTTCGAAACTCATTAGCATGTAGCAGAGAGTGTAATCTAGAGATTATTTCCTTTGCAATGCTTTCTGCTGGGTTTTTTCCTAGCCCCTTCAAATTATTCCACCCACATCATTGGTGCCAATATGGAACATAATTGCTTTTTGATCGCATTCATGTTTCCAAGCTGTCTGAAATGCTCAGTGACGTCTTTAAACCTGGCTGCAGAAAAGGCAAACATATTGTCCCGGATCCACATTTGCAGCTATCAAACACGTTCTGACCTCTTTTTTTAATTTTGCTACAGGCAAGGATTAAGAGGGAAAGTGAGAAGCGGTTACAAAGACAGATGGTGATGGAGTAAGGAAGTTTTTGGTTATCATTGCATTCTAGAATTATCCTGGAAAAGTGAAGAGTTTTGGAAGAGAACAGGACATGATATAGACTTGAACGGTTGTTGTAAAGTGGATTTTCTACCTCAATCAAGTGGCAATGAAAAAGACAACAGATCTCACTGCCCTTAGATTAGAAAGCACAAGTTTGCTTACATTCTGCTTCCCCTCAAAATCATGGGCTTTCACCAAGCGGCTATTGGTGGTTCAAGTCCATCACTAACGCCAATGGTAACAGGTATTTATTCTCATCTGACTGGATTTGGACTATGTGTGGGTGTACAGTGAGAGAGGTTAACATGAAGTACGTGATGACACTGCCTGAAATTATGAAACAGCCTATGATATTTTTGCACAATGTTTTAACAGTTCACTGTGATATCTTGGATTTGCAGAATTAATTTTTAGAGATTAACCCATGTCTGTATTAAGACAACATTTATTAGATGACTGAGGATCCTTTTGCTTTTCAGTGCATAAATAACCATTCTAAAAGTATGTGGTAATATTTCTATGTCAGATTGAAAGAGCCAACTCATACTTCCTGTTTTGTGGTATTGAAAAAAACCAAATACTAGAAAGAGATAGCACAAATGTTATTACTGTGACCATCTGGAGAATAATTGAAAAATGATTATCACTGTTAGAAATGTAGATTTCTGACCATTATACCTGAGAGAGTCCATTTGGTCAATCTTGGTTAATTCATCCAGGAAAAAAAAACTTTTGTCATTCTCTTGCCATGATATGTTGAATTTGGATAGTCTTTGGTTTTTCTGCAACCTAATTGAAAAGGCAAACTGATAATGATTCTTTCAGACTTCATTTTCTTTTCACTAGCTATAACTTGTGTTCCACTTATTCTGTTTTTGTTGGTAGTAGTTGAAGTAATATTCAAATCTAACCAAATCTCTGCTATTTAATAGCTTGTAAACTTCTGTATGTTGCTGTCTAGTATAGTATTTCCACATAACTCAATTACTTGATACTAGGGATTAATTTCAATGTTATTTCCTGCATTGTCTTCATTACCTCAATTTTCATTAATAACTTGTTGACTAAAACTGAATGCAATGTTGAAGATGCTGTCTGATCAGAACACTGTTTGAACTTGGCATCTTCTGACTGATCTACAGACCAAGAAATATGATTAACCACTGAACATTTTTTACTTCATAGGTTCAGGATGAAATTAAATCCTTTTCCACTTTGCCTTTAGCTATTTATAGATAATAATGACCAATAAAAATTTCATATGAATTGTTCATGAAAATTGACTTCTTATCCCTCCATGGTCTTTGGTATCTTGGCAGTGTTCTTGAGGCTTGGTTGCTGACATACAATCCTTTAATTCCTCTGACTCTGACTTGCTTTTCCGCTTTACCTTATTTGTTATTTCAACCACAAATTTCCTGTCTCTGCAAATCCTCTAGATTTTTCTGCATGCTTCCCATCTCAGTGATCAGCCCACTTCTCTACTTGTTCACTTTTTCCACCTTAGCAAATGTTCACTGCTTTCTATCAATATGAAGTACTTGGAAATAAAACATTTTCTTATATAGCTAGGTTTATAATATCTGGAAAATGTGAGCAAGATAATAAATCCATAACACCTGCAAAGCAAACTTTCACTAAAATGTAAGACCTCTTTAAGAATAAGACAACCTCTATGGAAAGCAGAATGAGATTGTTGACCAGGTGTAACACTTTAACATTATAAAGTTGGTGAAGTTTGACTGGCAGCAAGAGAATGGGAGATAAATAGAAGGCAAAGATTTTGTTTCTGAGATGTATGCAGAGGATTAGTTGGACAATACACGCAACTAATAAGGGTGTTTTAAGAAAAGCAGACACACAAGAACATTTACAAATGATCACCAAGAAACAACTGTAATTCCTTGTCCATGTGCTTGAGAGAAAAACTAGAATATCTGATAGTGACTGGTAAAATTGAGGACGGCAGAACAAGAAGGAAACAATGCAGACTGACTGCTTAATAAACAGTACAAGTACAAAACTTGAGAACACCACTAAGATATTAGTTATTATTTAAAGACCACGAACCATGTTCACTAATGTTGCAAAACGTGACAACTGAAGAAGAAGCACCTACAAACTTCTTTTCGTGCGTGAGCGTGATAAAAGTAATATTGATACATAGGAATATGCCAATTTATAATGAGAACGTTTGGTCTTTCTATTCAATTTTGGGATGTGAGCGTCACTGGTTGGGCCAGTATTTATTACATGACTTGGTTGCTTTTGAGAAGGTGCTGGTGAGCTGCCATCTTGTACCGTTGCAGCCCATGTGCTGAAGGTAGACCCACAATGCCATTAAGGAGGAAATTCCAGGATTTTGACCCAACAACACTGAAGTATTGATTAAATTTTCTTATGTGTACTGTCCTCTCCTCTCTACAGGAACAAGAAACTCAGGAAGAATTAGAAAACCTGCTGTCTCTTCTCAAGCAATAAACTTCATTTCTTTACTTCCAGTTATGAAACATTTGAATGGTCTAATGATTGAAATTGGGGAAAGGAATGGGTTACATTGAGAACCAAAGATCATTTCTTTGGAATTTGCTGAAAGTTTGCTTCAATAGGTGTATTTATTGATTCAGCTTGAGTTCAGAGATTCTGAAATTAATCTAATTTAGATTGACTTTGAAAATATCAATGGAACTGAATGTATTTTTCTGAAAAATTATGATGGGCTATATCAGAAAATATGGCTTAAGTAGATTTGTGATCTCCATAATGACTATAAAATCCATGAAAATGGCTATTTTTAGTAGTGTACAGAAGGCACTACAAGTGTCTTTTGTCAAGAAAAGTTCCAAAGACAGTAATAATGATTTGAAACTGACATTCTTTTCTTGTTTTAAACATTTGATGTAAAGAAAGGCATAACTATCATCACATATAAGGATTTTCAAATGAATTATATTTAGACATGCTGTATTTAAAAAAAATGACTAATCGGTTTTTCCAAAGATTAATAAAGTATAAAATCGATATACTTGGCTTGAAGTTTCAATTTCCTATGTTTAAAAAAATGGATATTTCTGTACTAGAGAGGATAAAAATTAACCTGTCATGAACTAGAAAAGTTCTTTATTTAGATTTTTCTCTCAACTGCATGAAAAAAAATTATGTGTGGAGTTGTCCTAGCCTCTGAATGACTAAGATGTTAGCAAGTCAGTTGGCAAACTATAGTGAAATTCTAAAAGTGTGATTCTTGATATGAATAAAGAATAGTCCAATTCTGCATCCAAGTTTTGAACAAGAAGTTGAGAAGCCTGCTTGTGGGTGGTGAGAGGCCTCTTTGGATTAATTTGTATGAGTTAACATGCCATGATTACCAAATCTTGTCTCACTGATATGCCATTTCCTATTCCTTCATGCGCTACCAATAAATTAATTGCTGCAATTTCTGACATGAAAGTCAAAGTGGATGCCGTCAGTTCCAGCTTGCCGTTTACTCCTCCAGGCTTCCATCTTTTACAGCAGACCCCAACATCTCAGGGCATGTTTAACAGCCAGCAACCATCTACACCCACCAGTATGCAAAGATTGATATCAGACACATACCAGCCTCTCTGCATTCTTATTGTACATCTCTAATCAGCTTACAATACAGTTCTACACTTCAGTCTGCTGTTTGGAGAGTACCAGTACATTTCATTGTAACGTTGCTGTCAGAACACTTTGCTGATAGGGATAGGAACCCAACTCATGGATTCAACCAAGGTGCATATCAAGACTTCTCACTTGCTGCTTTAGCACTCACTCAGTTAACATACTTGGATTCTCTCAGCATCTGGGCCTTGCCTTGTCTTTTCCTGCTTTACTCCCTCAACTAGAGCTTAAAGGATCACAGCCATTCTGTCTTGCATTTTCTTTTATTGCAGAAGCCAGATGCCTGATCATAGTTGTCAGCAATGATCAATCGGTGGGGGTAATTGGTCATGTTTTACAGCACCGTGCTACATCAATGTCATACCTACATCACGTGTTAACACCTTATGTGGCAAACATCCTGCATGTACTTCAACAAAATGATCATGTCTCAAAGTCGAAAAAGAGTAGTTCTTAGCCTTGAGGTCAATGCACCATGTGAGCTGTCCTGTATCACTACAACACCAACACCTACCTTCCAATGAAGCCAACAAGGTGAATGTAAAGCGAACACATTTACAAATGTGATAAATTACTTACAATGAAGTATCATCTGTGCCACCTATGTGCCCTTGGAATGTTTTCCCTTCCTCCTAATTCAATCTAGGTGTAGTCCCAGTGTCTGAAACTGATGTGGAAGAAGCCTGCCATATAGTGGAGCCTGTTGGCCCTGGATTTTTGGTCAGGTGGAGACATTTGTTGCTAGAGGGCAAACTCAGCAAGTCTAGGCCCTGCCCAGATGTGAGTTTACCATCCTTAGCTTGAATTTACACAGGATTGAGGCAGGGTAGAGATAGAAGGCCTGACCACCTCTAGATCGTCTGAAGAGTAGACTTCTGGAGGGCCTGTATGCAGTTCGTCCTGCAGCTGGGTGCCTACTGTCACTGCCCTGTCTCCTTGTGAAGAAGAAGCACCTGGAGTGAAGTCAAGGTACTTCACAACCACCACCAGCCCCCTCTCCCAGCTACCCCAAGTTGGTACTGAGCACCAGTGGCTAGACTGATGGAGTGCTAGTCTGTGTGCATATGCAGCAGTCACTAAGTGTGCTGGTCCTGGGTCCCCATGACAGTTGTTAATCTGTCCATGAAGATAGCCAAATGCTCGCATACCAAAGGCAGTATGGTACAAAAAGTGTTGATGGAGACCTCTAACCTTTGAGCCAGTTTGCCCAGAACCTCCAACAAACCAACTGGGTGCTCCAGTGTCTGTATGCACATTTGGATGAGGTTTTTAATGGGTGTCACCATGAGGTCCACTCCTGCATGGGGCAAGCTGAGCTGGTGCCTGGTCTCCTGCAGTACTCCAAGTGCCAGTGATCTGGGGTGTTTCTTCCTTGACCATGGCAGTGATGTGCGCACGAACATGTGCTCCCAACTCTTAATATAGCTAAAGTACCCACTGAGATGTCAGTATCTGAGCTAATGGAGGAAGCAGGAGGCAGCTTTGCTTGTGCACCTTCTGCTGGAGCTGCGTTTTTTTTTTCCTCCAAAGGTGGATGTATTGCAGGGCTGTTCTGTTGATGGTGGAGACTGTGTAGATGCCGCTGGTACCTCTAGAGACAAAAGAGAGAATGAGTGTCAAAATAAAGGTATAAGAATGTTAAGAATACATTCACAGCAGCAGTAATGAAAGAGCAACATGGCAAAGGACAATGATTCTTACTTGGTTACTAGACCATGGATGTTTGACATCACTGCAAGTCGGCATGGACTTTTCCTTCTGAGTCAAGGATTCTGTTCTCGTAGAGAAATGTTGAACACACCACCATCACCCGTGGCACTCTTTGTCCTATTATGGGTCATTTCCTCCTTGAAAGAGATGGGGAGAGATTGAGTGTGATACAAATGGCTGGCACAGCTGTTAGTGCTAGTTTAAGTCGGGGAACAGTGGCCTGTGTGAATGAGTTGGCAGCACAGAGAGTGCAGGGTTGTAAAGTTGGGGAGGTGTTGTTGGTTGGGATAGGTGAGACTGAGGTTCTGAAAGCTTGTTTTTTCAAATAAACCTGTTGGAGTATAACCTGGTGTTGTGTGATTTCTGACTTTGTCCGCCCCAGTCCAACACCGGCACCTCCACATCACAGTGAGAGGAAGATGTATGCAATTTCAAGTTGGTAGACCATGATCCTTAGTGGGAGGTTGGTGCAGTGGCAGAGTTAGTGAGTATGGTTAGAGAAAGTATGGTGGCACTTACCCTCGCACAGTGTAGAAGGTCATTGAGCTCCTGGAAAAAGTCAACTTGGACCATGGACACCTCACTAACCTGGGTGGCAACTTCAGACCAGGTTTGCAGGGTCTGGTGCCATGGTCTTCTCTAGCAGCCCTGGAGAAAGAAGACAGCCTTCCTTTGCACCACCCTGTACACGAGGGCCTCCATCTCCCTGTCAGCAAAGTTTGGAGCTAACTTGCAACCACCATTTCTGGGGCAATTCACATGAACAATGTAGGACAGCTCTGGACTGATCATTCTTGACCTGGTTCACAATTGCATTTAAAACTGGTGGTGATGCCGTAAATCCCAGGAGGTCCAGTATTGGGTAAGTACTTCCACTTGTGGCTACAGGGAAGGCAGTACAAACAGGGCACCCTAGAAGTATATTGCATAGCTAATGAAGTGAGCTGCAGTAACTAGCATGAGAAGAGTCATAAGGGCTCACAGAGCAAATCGTTCGTAAAACCCGCCAAAATTGACACTTGGCTGAATTTTATCAGAAATCATCTATCTATGTAACAAGGCAATTTCATGGGGTGGTATGTAATGGGATGGAAAACTTTTCCACATTTAAATCTATATTCTGAATGCGTCAAAAGTGGATCCAGTGTAGCTGAGGACTTTTAAAAGTAACATTCCTGGATCTCACATCATCTCTAACATTGCTCCTACATCTTATGTTAGAGATTATATATACCATTTGGTCTACTGAGTCATAAGGCAGGGTAAGTGACTGAGGTGTCAGTGGGGGAGCACTTTGGTGAAAGTGATTATAATTCTGTTAGTTTTAAAATAGTTATGGGAAAGGATAGACCTCATCTAAAAGTTAGAATTCTAAATTGGAGGAAGGCCAATTTTGACAGTATTAGGCACGAACTTTCAAAAATTGATCGAGAGCGGATATTTGGAGGTAAAGGGACAATTGGAACATGGGAAGCCTTCAAAAATAAGAGTCGAGGGATGGTATGTCCTTGTTAGGGTGAAGGGCAAGGCTGGTAGATATCGGGAATGCTGGATGAGTAGAGAAATTAAGGTTCTCATTGAGAAAAAGAAGGAAGAATATGACTAGTTTAGACAGCAGGGATCAGGTGGAGAATAAGGGCAGTTAGGAGTATATTTAAGAGGGCAATCAGGAGTGCAAAAAGAGGACATGAGATACATTTGGCAAATAGGGTTAAGGAGAATTCAAAAGGTTTCTACAAACACATTAAGGACAAAAGAGTAATTAGGAAGAGAATAGGGCCCCTCAGAAATCAGAAAGGCTACCTATATGTGGCATTGCAGGAGATGGGTGAGATACTAAATGAGTATTTTGCATCAGTGTTTACTGTGGAAAAGGATTTACAAGATAGAGAACTTTGGGAAATAAATATCGATATTTTGAAAAGTGTCCATTTTACAGAGGAAGAGGTGCTGGATGTCATAAAACGCATAAAGGTGGATAAATTCCTGGGACCGGAACAGGTGTACCCTAGAACCTTGTGGGAAGCTAGGGGAGTGATTGCTGGGCCTCTTGCTGAGATATTTGTATCATCGATAGCTATAGGTGAGGTGCGGGAATACTGAAGGATGGCTAATGTGGTGCCATTATTTAACAAATGTGGTGAGGAAAAGCCAGAGAATTACAGACAGGTGAGCCTGACATCAGTGGTGGGCAAGTTGTTGGAGGGGATCCTGAGGGACAGGATTTACATTTATTTGGAAAGGCATGGACTGATTAGGAATAGTCAACAAAGTGTTCAACAAGGTTCTGCATGGTAGACTGGTTAACCAGTGGCTCAGTAGTTAGCACTGCTGCCTCACAGCACCAGGCCTGGGTTTGATTCCAGTCTCAGGCGACTGTCTGTGTGGAGTCTGCACATTCTCCCCATGTCTGTGTTTCCTCCGAGTGATCTGATTTCCTCCCAAAGCCCAAAGATGTAAAGATTAGGTGGACTGGCCATGCTAAATTGCCCATGATGTGCAGGTTAGATGGATTAGCCATAGAAAATGCAGGGTTAGGGGGAATGGGTCCGGATGGAATGATCTTCGGAGGGTTGGTGTGGATTTGATGGGCCAAATGGCCTGCTTCTGCACTGTAGAGATTCTATGATTCTAACAATGTTGGATAACATGGAACACAGGGAGAA